GCTCTTAGTTGCCAAAGAAGTTGTCTTTTATTTTTGCTGCAACGCTTTATCCCCGGTGTTAACCAGTTTGGTTTCCTTTTTAACTTAATTTTTTTGTTAATTACGGGAAAACACAAGTCATAAAACAGTCGGAATGTTTCTATAAAGGCATCATACGCTATATTAGGATTATCTGCTTCATAAATTTCACAAAACGACAAAGGGTATAAACTTGATCTAAATTTCACAAGGTTATCGTAGCTGTAATCACGCGCTGTTATATTCCAACTGTCCAGTGTATAAGTCTTTTTTACAGGGATCTTTAAAACTTGAGCGGTGTGATCCGACATGTTAAGATCTACTATATTGTGAGTACATTTTTGAATGAAGTTGTGCGCAAAATTGTCTATACATGTATTGCTTTGTAGCCTAGTGGGCTGATCAATTTGTAGTTCCAAATTATAACTTAATAAATAATTAATAAACTCAAGAGATATACTATTTTTCTTTAAAGTATTGATGTTGAAGTCACCACATATAACAACATTTTTGCGCGCTTTATAACAAATCTTAGGCAATAGAATATCTAATTTAGAGTAAAAGGTATCAAGATTTTTTAATTTAGGTATTCTGTAGATGCATACAATAATAATGTTGTGTTGTGTTAATTCGATTGCGCAGCACTCGAATGCTCCCTGAACTGAAAGTTTCCTGATGTCTTCCAGCTCTTTATATTGAAGGTCGTTTTTTATTAATATGCACGCTCCTCCTCTTCTTGTATCCCTCGAGAAGCTAGTTGCCAGTTTATAATTAGGTATAGTGAAAAAATCTTCAAATCCAGCTTCCATGAAGTGTCAGGATGACAGAGTTTAAATGAATAAATAACAATATTGTTGTAACCATTGAGTACAGAAGTACTCTGTTTCTTTCTGGGTAATATATTTTGATAACCAAAGGTCGATGGTCATATTATTAAGTACCTTGCTCGAGTTATTTAATTATTCATTACATTTACCATTTACAAAATAATTCTTGATTCTTGAAACTACCATAAGAACTTAATTTGTATAATATTAGTAGCTACTACTACAAATGACGTGTGCTATTGATCCTTAACCTTTGAAAATAGTATATATTTCTAATATTACAGAAAATATAAATGAGTTACTTACAAATTTGCAGTAGAATTTGTTCTATCCAAACTCGGTCAAATCTCACTTGACGGCCGTCGAAGTTTTGCACTTGCATGTCCATTTTAAATATTTTTATATTATATCTGCGTACACTGGTTAGTTTTGCTGAATGAATTATTCAGACGGACCAAAATATAACTTTTGGCAAGTAAACAAAAATATTCTAATTTCTATCCAAACGTCACTTGTATTTTGACGTAAACGGAATTTAAAAAGTAATGTGGCAACGTTTTGTTCTTGTTCCCAAGTGTCCTAAATCCCGTCGCAACGTTTCAGACGTGACGTACCTACTCGGTGCTTCACGACTGCCACCTTTCTACTGTAGAACAATAAAAAAGAAATATATCAGTAACAAAATTTTGTTATAAAAACGGGGAATGCCCCGGTTCATTTTTATCTACCTACCTACCTATACCTACTCCAATCTCTATCTGTCCATTTTGTTCATTGGATATTTAACTTTAATGCAAACCCCATAAAGTTGAGAATCGAATAAAAAAATTGACACAAATAGTTGATCGACAGATTTTAAACCAAGGACGTTCAAATTAAATTATAGGAATCCCCTTGTGCGTTTCGGGCAAAAACTTTTTGGTGTGTAGTTCGTATCTTCACATCACATCAGCTACCTACAGCCTTAGAGAATTTTACGTTATAGCCATTCAGAAACATTATTTTAAGTAATACAATAAGACGCCTGGTGGCTAATTTAAAATATATAAATTAGGTATCAGCTACCGATATGTATTTATCTAATTCTTTTATCGGCAATTAACTCGTCGAGTACCGGTTTTGTAGACACAATTATAGAACAATAGGTTGCGGTCACCGGTGACCGCTTGGTGTTTGACAGTTTAAGTAGGTAAATCTATTTTGTCATATGAAGAGGTACCTAAAGGTAACCGACCTATTAAAGCGCAATTTCAAAGTACACAATGGTAGGAAACTGATATTCGAGACGTGGGTAGACGGAAAATGACATGGACGACTTGGAAAAGTTCGAAAAGCTAGGATTAGGGCAAACGGAACGAAGATACGAACCATTATTCCAGAAATCTTACTCCCATAATATAGTGTCAGACACAGCACAGCTCTATGTTACCAAAACATTGCGGAAAAAAAATGTAACAAGTCTCGATTATCGAAACTAATTACTTTTTATGGCATAAGTCGGTAAACGAGCAGACGGATCACCTGATGGTAATGGCAATCTGCGTCGCCCATGGACACCTGGAACACCAGAGGCGTTACAAGTGCGTTACCGGCCTTTTGAGGATTAGGAGTTTGGGGATCGTTGGGGATTCAGGAATTGGGGAGATTGAGGAAGGGGAGGGTAATTGGGCGTCCGGTAACCTCACTCTCACGACGAAACACAATGTAAGCGTTGCTTTACGTCGGTTTTCTGTGAGGCCGTGGTCTAATCCAGAAATCAAATCTTAGGTATAAATAAAACTTGTTGTACAGTAAAAAAATATTTATTGGTACTTGCACCTTCATTCTTTATTAAAACAATATACAAACCACATAATATACCTATACATTTTACAATACATGATAGCAATATTAAAAAACATATAAACTAAACTAACATGACTTATTATCTAAAAGTACTAGACTAAACCTAATTACTTACAAATATTAATATTATGCTACAATATGAATGACCTTGAAATATTTTTACAATTTTTATAAACGACAAGACAAATAACATCATACACAGACAATATCTCACAGAGATTGATTTAACTAGTTATTTTTGCTAATCTGAATGAAAATTTCTGATATACATTATAAAAACCCTAATGAAATTCGACCTTTACCTTCATGATCAACATGAAAATAAAGTTAATGATTGGGTCAAAATTATCACAATGTCATATACTTATTAAAAATGGTCAACATTTTATATAAAATACTCTGTCTTCATTTATTGAATAATAATTTAAGTCCTAATTTTAATTGTCACAATTCATTGCAAAATTCATTTTATAATTTAGATCGTAATTACAGCTGATGTCATAGATTTTGTTTTTATTTAATGTAATAGCTAAAATATATTTTATTATGCAGCAGTGATGCTAGACAGAATCTTTTTGCCAAGGATGCCAGAAGCTGTTTCGAGTATGAGCATTGCCAGTTGTGTCTTGTCACCTTGTTGTGTAAGGAACATTGCTGCGCGCTTGTAGTCGTCCAAACCCAGTCCAGCTAAGTAGTCGTACACCATTTCAAACAAATCTGAGAGCTTATCCTTAATATCTTGCCAAATGCTCCTCATAGAAACAGCTGGAACAAAGAAATATTTTATTTTCATTTTTAAGAAGGTAGATTGTGATTTTATAGAGATATAAATTACTTTAGATTTCTAATCAAAAAGAGTTCATCTTGATGGATAACAGGTAGTTGGTAAGCTACCTGCATGTGTTGGAAAGTATAAATTGTATGACTCAATATTCTATTTTTGTATATGACTGTAAGTATTGGAATTATGCCATTATTTTCAAAGAGATGTTGATGTAAATAGTAAATAAACAAGATATTTGTAAAGATAATGAGGATAGAATCATACGCAATTCTTGTCTTTAACTTACCGACTATCCCAAGACCGCATGCGCCGCCCACAGCTCCACCAACAGCGGCTCCAATTTTCCCGCCATAATGGCGACCAATCAGCCCTCCAGCTATAGCCAGTCCAGTGGTCACCAGGAGGGCTCCCTTAGTCCTCTCATCGCTCATAATAACGCGGAAATCAAAACTGTCGCTTATTGATAATATCACATTTTCGATACAAGCCGAGTCGAAGGGTAAAGCGGCACTCTCGCTGCCACATCGTCCTCCTCGAGTACACACCTGCTCATACTCGTTGTCCGACTCCGATTCCGAGGAGTAAGCCATTGTTTATTATTCTATCCTATTTATAACTTCGGCTAACGACAGATTTCTTTAAGACTATCGGAATCTTTATAGTTTTTGTGTACGCGACTACAACGCGGCGAACGCAACAAGACTGCTCGATACACAGTTCTTCAGCCTCGCCTGACCGCGATTTTAATTTTATTTGACTTCATTCTTCAAAATTTATTCGTGTCGGTATTTGTGGAATTTTTGGACCATAGACACAAATGACAATTAAATTGTTTATGGTTGCCTAGTCCTTTTGTCCTTATCTATTATTGTAATTTGCTTTTACATGGCTTTTACAAAATATAAAATAAAAATACAATAATGAAAGATACATTTTTGGAAAGGATTTAAACCCATATATTTTATTTGTCTTTGGACTGTCTCTTAACTCCATATTATATAGTCTATGCTGTCTATAAACTCACTGTGTCACACTGACTGTCACTGTCTGACTGTCATAATAAAAACAAACTCCAGCTCCAGGTGTGCTTTCTGTTTAATTTTAGTAAACAAATAAAAATCTGTGCAGGCTGTAAATTTTGCAGAACCAACATGCACAGAATAAGTACGCACTTAAGTCAGAAAATAGCCGAGGAAGCACAGCTTCTAGCGGAAGAAAAATGGATTATAGACGCACTGAGGAAACTCAAACAGCAACGAAATAGTTTACAGGTAAACAAATAAACTATACTTCCTATATTCAATATTATCCAGCTATTAATTATTTTACAATATTTAAATTTAAGTTGCAAGGAATTCTGTTGTCTGAAATGAGTCAGAGTGTGTAGCAAACTAGGTACTCTCCAACCCTGAAATCTGCTAAGCATACACCTACATTACGTATTGTTTGTAATTGTCCTATTATAATTGCTTGGAAATCAGTATGAAAAATAAAAATAAACAAATTCTAAGGCCGTTATACAATAGATTAATAACACAATTATATGTGGCCATGGTGCTCATATTTATATATATTTTTCAGATTGAAAAACTACATTTAGAAAATCTAAGAGCATCTGTTTTGAATGAGGAACTGAAGAATAGTTTATCATCAGCCCCAAGTACTGTTGTTGCTACAGTACCTTCTACTGCCACCTTAATACAAACTAGTGTTGCTCCAACACCACAGAATACAAAAAGTACATTATCAAGTAATGCAACAGATAATAGTAATGAGACTAGTCAGCCTGCAACTTCTAGGTCTCCTGTGCCAACTTCAGCAGATATTCAAAGCATACCAATGACACCTTCAGAGTTTGATATGCCTTTCAGCAACATTGATGATGAGATCTGCAATACTGAAAAACTTAATTTGTCTGTCACTGATTCTGTGTTTGGTAAGTGTAACAATACATTTTTTGTATGATGTTTCCCACAAGTTCTATTCCTGAAATATTTCAGTACAGAAACAATCACAATTCACAATCACAAACTTAACGATAAACACTACATATTACAGTGTAGTCACATAATTAATGGCATGATAGGATACGGAATTTCTATTCAAAATACTTGATTCAGATTAATACATTTTCTTGTGATTATTGTTGCCTTACTTTCAGCAACAAAGTTAGACTAAAAGTTCGAATTTTAATAAAAGTCGAAATATTTCATTTTCAGCTAATAGAAATATGAATCGGTCCGATATGGAAGAAGATGAAGAGGACTTGGAGAATGGTTTAGAAGATGATGAGGATATGGAGAACTGCTTGATAGAAATGAACATGTTGATGCAATCTAAACAATGAGAAGCTTGCTAGGAAGAGATTCAAAGTGATTCATGAAACACCTTTGACAAGGTTTGGCTGCAGAAGGCAGAATGTTTTTTAACAGCTAGGAAATACATAAAGTTAATTGAAGGTGAGTGAGACACGGGCTCTTTGTGTATAAAATTAAAATAAGTAAAACATTTAATTTGTGATACTACTAAAGTAATTAAACAATATATTATATTAAGGTGTTATAATTTCAAAACCCACCATAGAATGAGGAAAAAATAAAAAGAAATAGTATATATTAACAAAGAATTTAATAAAGTTTGTCTTACATATATTTTACATACAATAAACCATTAATGTATGCTATATACAAATGTTCATACAACAGTTATAACAAAAAATGTTTTTCGAGACCAAATCGTAATATTTTTATTGAAATCATTGCAAATGGCACATGTCCGAGATGGGGGAAGCATTTTTTTGAAGTATTTAGTTAATGAGACATCACAGCTAACTGCTGGTAAATCAAAATTAATTGTGTACACATTATGCGATCAAATGCTGCTAAGTTCAGTAGGCCAAGTACTTCCCAACAAATTTTGGAAATACTAGAATGTTTTTATAATAACTATCGTGAGACATACTAAATTAAGTAAAAACGCGGGTTACTCACGTGAATATACTGAGAAAAGCTCTACTAGTTTCGAACCACAGAGGGGTTCTTCCTCATGAGCAGCGTGCGCGGTCGCGGCGACGTCGCGCAGCTTACTGAGTAGAGCTTTTCTCAGTATATTCACGTGAGTAACCCGCGTTTTTACTTAATACTAGAATAAATTGCAATACATTAAAGTACTCGGTATAAGTTACAGTGAGATCTACACTTCCAGTTATAAATAGGGATGATGAAGCGATACTTTTCAATGATCTCTTAGGTTATAAAAATATTGTACACATATTATGACAATGTATTGGTCTTTAAAAATCCTTGCTTCTTTGGGATCATTAGCTAGCTACACATCATTTAAAAATGAATTTCCGTTCGTTAGTGTCGATAGAACTCGAGAATGTCTCAACCGATTTCGCTTATTTTGGACTTGCAATGTTCGTGGTAGTCCAGGGAAGGTAAAGGTGAGAAATCAGTCAGGTAAAAAAATTTTTAGTGCGCTGTGAAGTTTGCCGGGTCAGCTAGTGCCTAATTTTCTCATAATATAATAGATGAGTTCAATAAAGCTGTTATATTTTCGTAGTCGTCATCATCCCTATGATAGTGATGTCATATTTATTTATGCATAATGCGTACACTGGTTATTAATTAACTAGGTCTGGTGAATTAGCGAAACAAACTAAATTCAAGTAGTTACATATATTGGGCAAGAGTACATTGATACCAATATTCAATTTATTGTACTCTGTATTCGAAAGGTAGACAGAGCTTTACAAATTCCCTATTTTATTTATATTGACTGTTTAAATGACTAAGTTTATACCAAATTACATTATCCAAGTGATGATCCAATGCCGAAATTTAAAATGATAAGCAATGCGTTTATAGCATTATAAAGGCAGATATACATTACCGTGGCCTGTCGTGTCCTGAAACCGTGGCCACTAATCGGTTTCAAGCATTTAGCAAGCCACGCGACGTGACTGATATACAAGTGTGTCTCTAATCATAGTGAATGTACGAAACCGATATGCTTCGCTTCACGCCACGCCACTGTAATGTACTCTTGCCATAACTGTGACTTTTCGAATCAGATCATCATATTGTCAGTAATAAATTGTCTTAATAATTAAATTGGCGTAAATTCGACAGCTGTCTCGTCCTTGGAATAGATATATGTACATAGAAACGCTATATAATGTATATAAAATGTCCAAATTGACTTGAGTTTCCAAATTGCTAAGTCACCAGTTACAAAGAAACAAGCGGCCATGTCACGTGCAATACAAACATGGAATACATCTAGGTACAATACCAATCATGTTCAGTCTTTCATTCATAAACATTAAGTGTTCATTCACGAATATCATTCACTCTCGATCGACATTAAAATGTCAGTATCCACTTGTACAGTCGCCTACTACACTAGTCGTGGCTCCCTGCCCGACCTGTGACTGTACAACGTACGTGCGCCGCATTACATGTTGCAGTCATTGCAAAGTGAACAGTCACGACAATACATCTTGACCGGACTGAAGTTAGCTACAAACACACCCTTGTCTCATGACAAGCTTCAGAGCGATCAAGTTATATTGACATTTCTGTATAAAAAGATGAAAGGATAAAGAAGACACTATAAAGCAACTATGTCGCTTCATAGTTAAAGTTGAAAATATTAAAAAAATACAACTGCAACATTAACAAAAAAGAAATTAAAAATATTACAATAAATTAATGAAATATTAACTCTATGTCATCATAACATGGAAAGCTATTTGTACAAGGCGTAGTTTATACATCAATCATTTTACAACTATAAGCTTTAGTTCGAGGTAAATACACGTTATGTAGCAGACTTCACATCTATCTCACTCGCACAGCTATATTTCAGTAGGTGAAAGAGTGAGATAGACGCATGGTTCGCAGTTCGCTACGTGACGTGTACCTACCTTGTCCACTATCTCGCTACCTCCGTACCAATCACATTGCACATACTGACTATACATGGTGTTATTTTATCTAACAGATACTCAAATCTTGCCAGGAGGTGTTGAAACAGATCTTTAGTAGTTTTTCATAAAAACCATGTGATATATTGCATACATATTTATTAAACGGCCCCAATCCTGCAAACATACAAATACTTTAGTTCCTATTCGCACAATTGGTGCCGCTTCGACTAACATTTTAAGGTTATTTGTAATTGTATATTGTAGATTAAATATTTAAATAAATATATAAATACTTGCTATAGGATTACTAAGCGAGAATCCACTGTAAACGAGTCGTATTGTAAAATTACTTTATCAACCATACTTGAGTGAATTATGCGCTAATCAAACGCCTTAATTGTAAATTTTATCGAGATAGATTCAGCAGAGAGGTGTTTGGACCGCTTGCAGTGGATTCCGACTGAATCGTTGCATCATCGTAATGTAAGAGTCCCATTGTCTTTAGTAAACACGTCGGCCTTGTACTGTCGCAGTATGTCGGCACGCGGCGGGCCACGAGCGCGGCGCTAGGGCGCGGCCGGGGGCGCGGGGGGCGCGGCCGGGGGCGCGGGGGGCGCGGTGTCGGGGTGCTTGCGCTTGTGGCGCGGCTGGGATCACGAGGCGCGCGTGCTGTAGAACAGGATGTAGGCGGCGCTGGACTTCACCTCGCTCGACGGGATCTCCGTCACCACGTGGTCGTCGTACTTGTACCATCTGGAACAATACTCTTCTGTACTCATGTGCAACTATACAAGGAATACTGTATCTATACGCTTAGCTTCTTGTTATCTTTTACTGCTGGAGGCGCTAGTGGACAATAAAGCCTTTAGATTAACATTCATCGCCTGAGACGACATCTAGTAATTAGTAAATGCAAGAAGTATGAAAAACAACAGCTTCCGTCTTCGTGTTTTGAAAATAGAATCAAGGACAATTAGAGGACGATATTGCATAAGCAATAAAGTTTATTAACCTCTCGAATGATAGTTTATGAGACCCAATAGAAAATACATTGTGTCACACGCCGGGTAGGAAGAAATACAGAAAGTAGGACTCACTTGCCGTAGACGCTACTCTTGCAGTAGGCGGTGTAGTGGCCGCCCTCCATGGAGCCGTAGTGGTTGGACACGGCGTACAGGTTGTAGGCGTGCGAGCTGGTGCAGTGCGCGAACTGTCGCATGTCCAACTCTTCAAAAGGAAAGTCTATGTACGTCTGCTTCTTACGATACGCGTTACACATATATTCTTTAGGATCCACGTAGAACCGCTTGAAGTGAATGACCAGTACTGGCGGTAACCTAGAGATGTCGAGCTTCTTCAGGGCGTCTCGCTTCTCTTTACAGTTGGGACAGTTCCATCCTGGTATCGTCTCGTCGTTGAGGTATAGTTTTAGACAATCCTGTGGAAGAAATTATATAGTTTGTTTAGTAAATAGGCTACCAAGAGACTATTTTAACATTTCTTAAGGTCTTTTGTAAAGGAAGACAAAGGAAAATAAAGATAACTGTGTAAGTCTTCTTTGTATTTTCGATGATGATGCAGGTATCCTGGCGGTAAACACATTAACGGTACCCCAGTAGCGAGAGGTCACTTGCCCGTTAATGCTATATTTGCTAATGCACAGAGCCATTGGACATTTAATGTTTGACACCTATTATAATTAGACTAGCATGGACCTTACTACATAGCTGTTTGGTCAGTAGACAAAGGGTAGCCCCTCCACATAAAGCCTGATTCCCGGGGCTCCGGCTCGAAGAGCAGGAGTAGGAACGAGGTGGTGTTAAGTCAGTAAGAGTCTGACACTCCCTCTCGCCTCACTCAAGGCGGAAGAAGTAATAGATAGATTTTCCCCCCTCAAAAAAAGTCCCCATTAGGTAGTAGTAAAGTGTTGGTAGACTGACACTGAGCGAGCAGCGGTTGGCGTTGGCGGGCAGTTCGAGCGACAGGTTGGAGAAGGACTCGTACGTCACGCTCTGCTTGCCGCAGACCGTGCAGCGGACCGTCGACTTGATCTGCCCGTAGAACAGTCGGAGGATCAGGCTCTCCTTCGACTTGGTGTACTCGTGCCACGCCTTCTCGGAGGGGGGCAGGTTGTCCTGTAACAGGTACATAGACGTACATACTTTAGCTTTGTGTTCTGTAACTTTATAAATTTTTGACATTAGTTATATGTGAGTGCGAGACATCGTCAGAGTCAGAGTAAATCGATGCAGGTAGCGAGTTGTCGTTCAACGTGGAAGTTGACGAAGACGAAGTTGATGATGATGATGATAATGGTGCTGATATGCGAGTTCTTGTCAAAAAATCGCGAGAGATCCATAGATTTTGGATAATCTTTCCAGAGTTCCGCGCAACTGTGACTAAAGTGATAATAATAAATTAAATATTATAGTATAATGGTATTCACGTTTACTACTTCCCCGACTGATAAACAAAGACATATATTTAGCTAACCTAGCTTTTGCAACGAGGTCACGACCAATTAATTGCAAATTCAAAAACATCTGTAAAAGGTAAGCAGATATATTGAAACATTTGGCACGGAGGTGTAGCCGTACCTTGTGCTGCGGCACGTTGATGGAGAACTGCAGGTCGAGGTGGAGCCAGTCCATGAGGATGGTGAGGAACTCGTGCGAGTCTTGTTGCTCGCAGCCACGGAACGCGCGCTGGTGCTTGCCCACCTCGTTCTGGACAACACCAGGGAAATTGTTTCAAATAGCAGATACTTTTGAGTAGTAAAACCAGATTTATCTGTTAATCAATTTTAAAGGCCGTTGCACGCTCGAACATTACTCATTCTTCGGTATTATCAGAAATAACGAAAAATAAATCACAAGATTAATAATTCTTGACCAAAGAATTTAGTGCGAAAAGATGAAGTTATTTGATTCTGATAATTAACTAAAAACTGCGGGTTACTCACGTGAATATACTGAGAAAAGCTCTACTAGTTACTAGTAGAAGTAGCAGTGAGGTGCGCGACGTCGCCGCGACCGCGCACGCTCATGAGGAAGAACCCCTCTGTGGTTCGAAACTAGTAGAGCTTATCTCAGTATATTCACGTGAGTAACACGCAGTTTTTAGTTGATTCTGATAATTTCGTCTATGGCGTTAAGTTTTTATCGGTTTATAACCTGGTACAGAACATGGGAAGAAAATAATGGCTGTTTTGAGCAAATTTCGCAAAAGTTCTATCATAAAACAGAATAATATGCGATGTGTGACATACCCGTAGATCCCTGGTGGCAATGAACCGATACTGCCCGGACCACAGCGCGCGCACCACCGCCGCCAGCTCCTCCGCTATCGCGCCGCGAGTGCTGTGGGACCTGGAACATTACATATTCCTAGTGTTGATCCCAAAGAGACAAAATAAAAATGATTGGGTCTTGGCAGAACAATTTTTGGGAAATACTTTCATAGTCCAATCATAAAGACAATATTCAAAGAACAAATGACACTGGTAGAAACCTGTCAAGTGTCAGGTACTAACCTGTTGACATGTTCCAGATACTGTCCGTTGCAGAAGTAGGTGACGAGTATGGCGGTGTTGTTGAGGCACTGGATGATGGAGTTCATGTAGCACGTGTTGCCCAAGTTCTTCAGCCCTGTCAGTCCTCGACCCTGGACATACAGACATTTTATTAGACCAAATTTACAACATACACAGGCCTAGTTATACATAGTGTATGACGGCATCGTCACTAGTTCACGAACAAAATTGAACCGGGTTCTATACCTACCTTTGATTATTGTTGGTAAAAGTAGGTGGTATAAAAGTTTTTCTTTATCTATTACATGCCATCGAAAAAATCTACATATTGACAAATTGTTTGAATAAAAAAGTCGATACTAATTAAGTTGCACAAAAACCAACCTTATTGCAGTGGTGTATATACCTCATAAAACACCCCTCATTATAATTTACTGTCAAAAAATCCCATTAATTAAAGATAATGTAAAAAAAACTGCAGCAACCCCACACCTACATAACAAAACAACGAGTAATAGAAAACGTCCAATCAAAAACAATTACTGTAAGTCTGAAATCAACCCTCTATTGCTTGCCAACTTACTATATAAATAAAGGTACATTTGCGACCAGCGCCGGCCGATGGTTATCACACCGTAAGGTCACAGGTCGAGTCCCAAGGTCAAGTTCACGGCGAACCAACCCCATGCAAGTGTTTTAATTTACAAGGGGGGTGGGTATTACCTCCTACGGACGTGACAGGTTAATTGCATCAAGTCTGTGAATAATTTACTAAGGACGTTGCAGTTTCTTGTATCAGTTACATTTTGTTGTTGTTTGTTTTTCAAGTTTTGTTTGTTTTTGTAACGGAAATGTAATTAATGGGAGTGGACTGATGTTAGCCTTGTCAAGTTTAAAATTGACAATGCAAAGAAATTTCGCAACTTCATGAGATTCCTTGTAATATTCGACTGAAAATGAATTACAACAGCTTTTTCTTGAATCTATTTTAACTACCAGTATGATTGTGATCCTATGATAAACTTCATGCAATTGTATTTGACTATTGACAGTTGCACAAGTTAATGGACATAACAATAAAGGTACAGGTGCTAAATTGGTTATCTATAATAAAATTAAACACACTTCCATGATCCCTAAGAAAAGGGAGAACCCCTTCTCTCCTTTATTTCTGCCTGAAATTCAAAATTATAAGATAGATTATATAACTTACACGTTTGAAAAGCCAGACGATGTGGTTCTGTGAGTACTTAAGCCGGACTTTGACTTTGAGCACCATATTCGCGGTGTCTAGCGGTATGCATCGCCGCTCGTACCGAAGTATCTTGAATATAGTCCTGCACTGGGTGGCCGCTATCGCAGTCAGCTCTTTACACGGTTTTAAGTAATAAGAGTAACGCGGTAATTACTTAAAGTTCACTGTTTGTCAATGTAAGAGGAGTTCTTTTATTTATTAGTCTAGCCAAAACGTGAAGGTACTGGTAAACAAATCGATGATTTTTTTCACTAGTTTACGGCGTTTATTTTTTTATTTTCAAGTGAGTACAATATTTTCACTTTATTTTTTCTCTACTAAGAAAATATTGATTTAAAGTCTTCTTTATGCAAATATAATTTAGTTCAAATTGGCGTTTTTCTCTCCATGGCAATAAAAACTTATAAAAACACCTTTATCCACAAAAAACACGATGTAGTCACAAAAACACTGCTTTGTCTATATTTCCTTTGTTTTTAAATGTCGTTGAACTTAGTAGAAAATAAATTCAATTGTCATTTCCCAACAAAAGGCTAGATTTAGTATACCTAGACAGTGGGAACACTAGGATAAGTAATACTAACAAATAGAACATGAATAAAGTCGATAGAATAGTTGGCAGCATTACCACGACACGGAAGAAAATATTGTTTTAATAAATATATTTTATTTTCGTTTATTTGTTTGTAAACACGGTGCGGAGGGCGCGCGCGTTCCTGTCGGCGGTCGGGTTGCAACTGAGCTCACGTGCCCTGCCTCCACTAACGAGGGGTAGCGAGGCTGCCATTTGTCTATTCCTACCTACTAGCTGTATGTGTGTGTACTACAAACGTTATTGTTCTACTAATATTTGTAGGTGTGTTTGGCACTAGTATCGTTGTAGATCCCTTAGTAGGAATGTAAGAAGTCTCAAGTCTGATTCTCGTTTAAAACAAAATTTTGTTCTAATTTTTAGTTTTAATTTGGAAACTGAATACTATACCACTGTATTAAATAACAGACTAACATTTCCTTACAAAAAAGAGCTATATTTTTGAAACTTTATGAGAAAGTCAATTATGGAAGCAAGAGAGCTGACAACTGTTATGTCCTCCCATTTTAGTTTTATTTCCTCTGACAGAAATGGGATGGTTGCGCCTGGAAAAATCCATTTTCCAGCGAATGAAATAGCGGACAAAAGCTAGTCTTTAGATATTTCGTAGCCATGAGCTTAAGAAAGGGAGCGTACACATTGTTTGGTTAACAAACGTTCGCATGATTGATGGGTGTGTCTGTGTGTGCACGGGGTTACCGCCGTACTACAGGCTTTTTTGGAAAGTTTTCGTCTTTGTATTGTTTGTAAGATAAAATCCATACAATATCTAGTGTAAGTTATTGTATGAAATAAAATCTATATTCACAATCTTTATACAAATTCATATTACAGGAGGAAAAGTTTAGAAAGCGCCTTAGAAACATAAAAGAATAAATATTGCGTTGGTCCAGCCATTAGATTGTCCACTATGGTCGAATAGAACACTCCGGGCGTCGGGGATCGCTGGACGATCTCCGGCCACCGTCCAACCAGAAACAGACCCGAGCGTGAAGCTCAAAGAGCCATCAGACCACCACGGATGGGGCCCAACAGGGCTGATGCCGATTTGGAGTCGCGGAAAACTTAACGGGTTACCAGGGCTCCGGCTCGAAGCGCAGGAGAAGGAACGGGGTGGTTTTTAGTCAGTAAGAGCCTGACACTCCCTCCCGCCTCACCCAGGCGGGAGAAGTTATTCGATGATTTTCCCGCCTTAAAAAAAAAATGGTCGAATGGTCGTAAGTGCGAGCAAACATGTCTGGTAAGATTTGCGGTTTTTATTTCCCATTTTTTTATTTTCAGTAATAGCATAGATTCAATAAATGGGCTCTTGTTGTGTATACTAACACACATAACACGAAAGATATGTATGTGTTAACCTTTAGGGACAGCCTGTTTTAGGGAGACCATTGCTCCATCATCATCTGCTGATTAAATAGTATAATATGTATCTCAGTTTATCTTAAGATCTAAGTTATGTGGAATTCAAAGTGAAAATCATTTCTATAATAACTATCTTAAGACATACTAATTAACTAAAAAAACTAAAAAAAGCTCTACTAGTTTCGAATCACAGAGGGGTTCTTACTCATGAGCAGTGTATGATGAGTAGAAACGCTCGAAACTAGTAGAGCTTTTCTTAGTATAGTCATGTGAGTAACCCGCGATTTTTAGTTAATGAAAATCATTTATTTCAATTAAACCAAGAAGACACTTTTGAACATCAAACAAAAAAATAAAGTTTCAGTTTATCGGTCAGTCCTCTAGTGACGCTACTTGCTCATTCCAAGGAGTGATCCTATGGAGAAGAACGAACAAGAAACTCCATAGGTTACTCTTTTTCAGTTTCACAATGTGATCATTAGAAATGGCATGTGATTGTATGTAGTTGTTTAGTGTGATAGGGCATCGAGTTCGCGAGCACGTGGGGATGGGCAGAGGATTATATCTTACGTCGGTGCGCTGTCGTGACGACAGCCTGAGTGAGGTACACGCGATGCATTAGCTACGGTCAGTCGCGCATGAAACTAGATGTCCAAGCTATCAATATAGGGAATTGAGTAGAATGGTATCTATTATTTCCTGATCAACTGGACTCTTCCTTAAATAGGCAGAGGTCCTCAATTCTCATCATTATCATTTCAGTCATAGGACGTCCATCGCTGAACATATGCCTCCCCAAACGAGTTCCAGATGAGCCGGCTGGAAGCGACCTGCATCCAGCGTCTTAATCCAAAATTTCTGGATTCATCAAGATTTTTGACAGAAGCTCCATACAACGAATGTCAAAAAATCAATCATAATAGAAGACCACAAATCTATGTTTCCGAAGAAAAATCACTGTACAAAAATGTTTGACCGTGACATTTAACCAGTAACTTATAAGGTGTAAGTTAGCTACGTTGACCTATAGTTTATTTTAACTGGCTCGTTCCGCAGTTAATAATATAATGAAGTAATACTGACAGTCGAGGCCACCGCTACTATTATTTAAATCGCATACATAATGATTGCGGTGGTCGGCCAAACATTAATCATTTCGCCTGAATTTATTGTTTCACCTAGGGATTGTCTGGATAGACTAATTAATCGAATTAAGATCTAATATGTATTAGCACAGATCTCGCGGTCTCCGAAGAGTTAAGCAGAGATGAGAGCGTGCTATTCTTTTGTAAAACCATTACCACCATATCACCCACAAGGTGTCCATCGCTGAACATAGGTTTCCGTCAAAGACTTCCGAATGGCTGTTTACATATAGGGGGGCCCCTTGCGACTGTTATTAGGTCGTAAAGCATGCACAATACAAAATAATTAAAAGCTTCTATTTTAAACACCTTAATGGAATGTTTAATGAGTTCTTCCAAAGGTTACGAGTTCAGCTATATTTTATAGTGAGAAATTAATAAATAGGTAATGGAGTGCACGTGTAAGACCTAACTAACTAATGCACAGACTTGTAGGTTTGATACATCTATATATCTATATCTATATATATATATATAAAATTCAAAGGTGATTGACTGACTGCCTGACTGATTGACTGACTGACATAGTGATCTATCAACGCACAGCCCAAACCGCTGGACAGATTGGGCTAAAATTTGGCATACAGATAGATGTTATGACGTAGGCATTCGCTAAGAAAGGATTTTGATA